ATTTAAGGGGTTCTTTTAAAGAGCTAATTTAATAAATTGCAGGGAGCTGCTCTTGGCTACAGGCTGAAGGTGTGTGAGGATGGAAGCAGGGAGCTGCTTTGAGTGCCAGAAGTGGCTGTTCCAAGGAAGGCAGGGCAGAGGTTTTATTAACACCGTCTTTTTTACCCAAAGGTGCCCATTAGCATAGACAGTCTTGGGATATCATTTAAGAGGCAGCTACATTTATCACAAACAATGCACTGTTTGTTTCTGCTGTCTTTAATGCAAACACAGACACAGGTTTGTTTCCTGGCCTCCCTTTGTGAATTCTTCTCTCAGTACAAAAGGGTATTTTGCTGAAACCTTCAGCAACAGGCTGGGTTTTACTGGTGAATTAGGCAGTGTGCAATGGGCAAAAGTGCCTTGATAATCTAAGAGCCATTCTCTCTTGCAGCATTTCTCCTGAAACTAGTTAAACTACCTGGCCAAAGATTATAGAGGAGTTGATCGTTTACCACCATTTACCAGAATACCACTACATATGTTGCACTGAGTATTAACACTGGTGATCAAATTAATTGCTGCATGGAATTAATTTCATTTTCAGAAGAGGAGGACTACTTTAAAGATATTTGACCCATGGTCTTCAAAATTGCAAATACTTGTCTTTCTGATAATTCTGTAGAACTTTAGGAAAACTACTGTGCATTGAAAAGTATTTCTTTTATAAAAATCTCTCTGAGCATTTAAACCAAGAGGTAGTTAAAATAAAATCAGCAAAGTGAGAAAAATCAGTGGTGTCAGTCGTTGCAATTATTTGTCAAACAGGATAGAATTGAATCCAGTCCAGCCTCGTTCTTCAGAAATGAAAGAAATTCTTCTTAGGAACTCAGAAAATGATAAGTAGATAAATTTGAAAAAGCTTTAATGTTGTCTTTCAAAGAGAAATTCCTGCGAATTTAAGCATTCCCCTTTGCCTATGTTAACGCTACAAATAAATAACGATAACATTTACAAATTATTGTTGGCACACCTCTTAATCTGCTAAGTCCCCAAACATGGGATGCAATATGTGACAAAAATCCCAAAAGCAAGAGACCCACAAAATTCTACATGCAGAAATCCTAAAAGCTGGGAAGCTTTCTTAATGCACCATGAACATAAACTCATTTTATGCATCTCTATTTCTGCTGACAATTTCTGAAATTGGAAGTAATGAAAAGAGAAATTCTGTAGGTAATGTAGGTACTACCTTTGAGGATGTGGTGGGTATAGAAAGAGATGATTGCAGGCTACTTGCTTATTACTTTGCAGAACTCCTATAGCAATAGACCTGTTGCAATAGCCATAGTCCTCCTTACTAACACAAGATGTAGATAGCTCTTCTGTAAAAAAAGAAAAAATCAAAGAAATACTAAAGAAGTCTTGAGAAGATCTTGAGATTTGGGCATGAGTAATTCCAAATGAATGCCAAGAGTCTTGGACAGACGGACCCCAGCGAAAACACTGGTGGTGGTTACATCATCTTCAGATCTCGGAATCATAGAATTGTACCATAGAATGGCTTTGGTTGGAAGGGACCTTAAAGACCATCCAGTTCCAACCCCCTGCCATGGACAGGGACACCTTCCACCAGACCAGGTTGCTCACAGCCCCATCCAACCTGGCCTTGAACGCTTCCAGGCATGGGGCAGCCACAGCTTCTCCAGGCAACGTCTTCCAATGCCTCACCACCCTCTCCGTGAAGAATTTCTTCCTTTTATCTAATCTAAATCTTCTCTCTTCCAGTTTAAAGCCATTGTCCCTTGTCCTATCACTCCCTGCCCTTGTACAAAGTCCCTCCCCACCTTTCTTGTCGGCCCGTTTAGGTACTGGAAGGCTGCTGTAAGGTCTCCCCGGAGCCTTCTCTTCTCCAGGCTGAACAACCCCAACTCTCTCAGCCTGTCCTCACAGCAGAGGTGCTCCAGCCCTCGGATCATCTTCGTAGCCTCTGGACTCGCTCCAACAGGTCCATGTCCTTCTTGTGCTGAGGACCCCAGAGCTGAAGGCAGTACTGCAGGGGGGTCTCACCAGAGCGGAGCAGAATCCCCTCCCTGGAATGTAAAGCAGGAGTGTGTGAGCTGACTGTGGCTGCTCTACTGGATCATGGTGCTGGATATAGTCTCGGAAATAGCAGCACCCTAATCATTTGAGATTAAATTTCATGATTTGGGATAATAAAAGCAGATAGGAAGCAGGTGCAGAAACCTGATCAAACATGCTACATGTTTATTCCGGTCTGTACTGTACAAAATGTGAATAGCTGACTATATTTCATCATCTAAATTTTCTAAATGTGCTTTAAAGGTGGCCTTAAATAGTGCGCACTGCGATAATCAAGGAGGGAGTTGGAAAAACTACAGGTGAGCACCGTGAGGTCTGCAAGAGTTGCAGAACTTGAAAACCGTACAAACCAGCGTTGCTCTGACAAAATTGGACGTTAGGGTCTTGTCTTTCACTTCACCTCCAGTGCATCGGGGCAGGTTTTGGAGCACCTGGTATACATTCTCACCGTACAGACTCCCACTCCGTTCCCTTTACTGCCAGGAAAATGCTATCTTGACAAGGTTGATTTACAGCTGTTTGTCCATACAATTCAGACACAGAAGCATAATAGGCATTCCTAAAAGAAGGCATGAAGGACCA